CTTGTGAGTAGTTTCCTTTATGAAAATATGCTGCAATATCTCGAATATATTGCCAACTGGATCATGAGGTGGCCTGTGTGCAGCACATTCAGCTGGAGGATATCAAAAACGAGAGATTCAGTTGAGTCTCATGAAAACCAAATTGATTGGCGAATGAGTGTATTTCTCGAAGATATTCCTACCATTTTCAATGCCGGGTTTTGTATGAATCTGAGTCAACCAGGAGTATTCACCACCTGGACTTCCCAGGAGATTCATGTAGACCGATTGCTTACCGAATCCATTGGAAGTTGTGTCAAAAAAGCATGAATAAACCATACCAAACCGATGGGCCTTAGGTTCAACAATTCTGTTGAACCTGTTCATCAGAGGCGATGATCAGAAAAACCTTGTACACAAAAATCAAGTCGCAGTCACGTTAACCATTAGCCGCGTAGTTTAATTTGCCAAACAGATTTGGCACCTATCGGCTTTAACGATGGAAATTGATTTCTGTTTACAGGTATGCAATTGACGTCATCTGTTGGCGTCACTAAAAATACATAGTGTATTTCCGGAATGTATAGTGAAAATTAGGTTCCATTTATTCTGTTTTGTTCGGTCAGAATTTTGGTGGAATACCACCTTCGTAGTGGGTTCCATATAGCAGATTTGTGAGTGCATGACTTGTGTGCAGGCTGAACACACCCGGTGTTGTTTTCATCTCGGCGATGGGAAAAAGTACTGGTGCGTTGTTCATGGGGGTATAACTGACGTTGTGATTCGGGTAGACCATACGCAAAAAAATTGAGCTAAATCCCGAGAAGCCATCGGTTGAAATGTGTGTGAACGGCTGATTGGAACCTCTGCGATCGAAGGCTGATATGTGCGTGGGGTCGAGATTTCAGTGAATAGAACTTTCTAGATTCACGCCTACTTAGTTGAGATGACGCTGTTTAAATGTGTGATTCATGGTTGTAAGTGAGCTGGAACTTCTACCAGGACGTCCAGACCTAGACAGAAGAACGATCGGGATGCTCGACCAAAGCATTAGGCTCAAAAGCCTAACTGCTGGTAGCGATCTTTGTCAGGAAATTTCACCTGACCGGCCTCTCTTTCATCGAACAAGTCACCAAACATGCAATCTTGATGTGCCAGACGATATTTGGTCTTTGAAGTGATTAAACTACTGTTAGATCAATTTTATCAAAGGAGATAAACAGGTGCAAAATGGAAGTGTGAAATCTTGTGTCGGGGGAAGTTGGGCGACCTCCTTTAGACGGGAATTCGACCCTAAATAGTGGATGATGGCAAATCCCCTTTCTAAAGAAGTGACCAATTGGTGAGGTCTCCTTACGGGTTGTTTCTGTACATTATTCGAAGAGTTTTCAGTAGCCATATGAGTAGTGTCTTTCCATAAGGAAAAAAACCCAACTCGTTTAGAGACACTTGTTTCCAACAAGATCGCCTATAGGCAAACTATTACGAAGTAGGGATTAGGACTTTACTGTCCTACCATTTAACGCCCAATAAACAGACTTGTTGTCTCGGGGGGGGGGTGAATATGCGGACGAATTGCTCCTGGTTGCATGCAAAAACTGACCTATCAGTGTATTGCCAGGTGACACATCATCAGGCAATGTTCATCTTTCTTGATTAGGGAGCGGAAGGTTCTTTGGAAGGGCTCAAACAACACAACGCTTCTGAGGTGTCCACCTGTGAATTATCTGGAGTGTTAGCGAACATACACTCATTTGCAAACTAATTTGGTTTTTCAACAGACTCACGTGGAACCCAGCTGAATCTCTCGTTTGTGATGTTCTCGCGCGACTGAATGTGCTGCACCAGGCCGCCTCATGTTTCACTCGCTACGATATTCGAGATATCGTGATACATGTATATCTTTGTAATGTTACTGAAAATTCGTCGACAGCCCACGACCGGTCTCACCCTTTTTGGGGCTCATCAGGTAGGCGCAGCCCCCGAGTTTCCGTCAACCTTATGTTCTACTCGACGGATTTTCAGCCAACCTTATGGTAGTTCATTACGAAGATTATCTGAAGTGTTCTTTAGCTGACGGTGGGGACTTCTCTTATGAGAATCCTCACCAGTAGAAAGGACTGTTTAACAAGGATTGTGTAAAGTTCATAGTCGTGTATAAAACTGCCTAATATAAAGATGTTTGCACGTTGGGGAAATTTTATTGGTCAGTGTTTAGTGTTGCCCATCTGTAGGAACTTTTTCCGTTTGATGGAAAATTCACCTTGCACTTCGCTCATCACTCAGGAAACAGTGAACACAAGGACTCGTGAGATGTTCATTGGTTATGACTTTGCGGTGTCAAATTAATTCGCAAATTTTGATAAGAGGTTTCTTTTATTTTCGTCACGAAGAGACTGGAGCTGTCCGTTGTGTGACGGTTTGTGTATCTGGGCGACCCATTGAACTATACTGGGGAGTGTCTCGGCGATACACACAGAGTCTCTTATACCACGTTGGTCAGTGGTTAGAGGTCTGACGAACACAGGCTCCTGGCCCTCCAGGTTGGGGGTTGGAACATGTCTGGCCACGTGTTCCGTAAAAATGGTGGCGTACTTACTTATACCACGCCAAACACCACTACCTTGCGGTCGGACTTTTGAGCCAAAGACTTTGGTTGAGGACCCTAATCGTCCTCGTATCTAGGTCTGAGCGCCCTGGCAGTATCCAGACCCACGTACAACCATGAACTGCATATATACGTACGGCAGCGAAGCACCAGTGCTGAAGAGTGATGTCATACTGTCCATGACGATAGCATTAGGAATGAAATCCTGATTCAAAACGCTCACCGCATTGGAAATTCTATTTTCTTTAAAATCCTGCTTTCGATTAAGGTTAAATGCCCAGATTTCTCGATGAGTTTCGCTGTGTCCAGCCTTTAAAAGACACGCACAGACATAACATAATATTGAAAACGAATGTTGTAAACAAAAGGACGTCACTCAAAACAGTCGTATGTTTGATTTCATTCCTCAGGTATATATAAGCACATCAGACGTTCAAATGCATGCGAATTTCCATCGAAAGGACGCGGTGATTATTCAAGAAGGTTTCCAGCGGTTCAGAGCCAGTGAGAATTGTGGGGTTCAAGGTTGTCCGTTCACCAAGGAGCGGACCACGCATTTCCATTGCAGGCGCACCAATTGTCACTTTACTTTCAAGAACAAGGCTGATATGGGTGAGTTTTGCGTTAACCATTTGAGCTACTTATTACACTCGAGTAGTATAACTGAACTAATGTTCGGCGATGGATCTTACTGAAGTTCTCAGTTGTTAGCATGTATCCATACGTAAGTCATACAACCTGCATTTGATTACCATTGATTTCACTCGTTGTGATTGGATTGTTCTGAATTGATCTCACCACAGTTTCCTTGACAAGGTTATGACTGATTGACGTGAACAGGACAGTGACGTCAGATGACAGCCTAGTTTCGTCATCCTTCATTTTGATACACTGCAAATTCTGTGGAGTGGGGCGAAGACACACTGCAATGAATTTGAATATTTTGAAACAATGGTTTCACAAGGAAGTTCGTTAGAAGGAACATGAAGGAGAAAAGTTTCTCCGGGCATGAGCAGACAAGTAAACGGACCGTCGTACTCTACATCAGAAACGTACCCAGCTCATAGCGTGGCTTCTATAAACCGAAGGAATCCTAATAGCTCACAAACTAACGGCTACATTGACAAGTCCGATTTCAAGATTAAAGGCGAACGAGGATACGAGGAACAATGTTGTTTACTCAGTGGACCGCCTTATCAGACAAGCACGTCGGAAGCTGTGTTCGCGGATGAAGAACACCCCAGCATAAAGATCTCACCACACGAAGATCAAGAGGGGCACAAGATCAGTCTAGAAAATGTGGAAGCTTTGGTACGCGGAATTACGGGGCAAGCAAGAAGTGTGGCTGGAAGTATGGTACTCTGTCAGCCGACCCAGTCTATGTATCATTACAAGCAGAGTGTCACCGAGTTAATCGCAAAAGGATCGTACC